TATACAATAGGGTATTGAGATACATTTGTTGCGACTCGAATGGCTTTGCACCCATGCCATTAGCGTGAATAAAAACAATAAATTTTATGCGTTGCATATTTTAACAGAGCCGGGCATAAATGTAAATGGATGCCATTAATCATTATGTTTTGATTATGGACAGTAATTTAGCATATAAATATGTAAATTATTCACTACATGTGAACATCTCTCAATATGTGAGACGTATAGTCGTAGAATATAAATCAACCCATGAAGTGTACATAATACTTCGTAGCATTATTACAGTCCTTTTTTATGTGTTCGAGCAAAAAATATTAATAAAAGGATAACACTAATAATGCTAATCATGCTGTATAATAAATTAGTTTTTTTTTAAATTTTTTTTTTAAATTTTTTTATAAATAAATAGAATTAAAGAAATTTTAATTATTCAACAACTTCATCACACTCCAACTAATTTAATGATTACAAATTGCCTTGTTGTTTACAAATTATTAAAATAAAATTATCTTGATTCCTGTTAAGTACGAATTAAGCTCTATTTAGTGTCTTTGTTTTCGTGTAATTTCCATAAATTATACGTTCACTATTTTGTTATTCCCACTGTTTTTTTTTGTATTTTTTTTTTCTTGCGAAATGTTTTGACATATTCAAGACAGGGTTGGTTTGTTTATAATTTATTATTTGAAATTGTTATCAAATTGAAGAAGGCCAACATGCAATGCTCATGTCAAAATATTAAAGTTAATGTTTTGTTATTAAAAGAAACAAAAGTCCTTGTGACTTGTTTTTATTTGAATTAAAACATATGAAGTTCCTGCACGTGCGTTAGACGTATACGGCATACCATAACTTAGAAGAGCATGAAACCTTGTCGACATTTTACAGAAATTAATACAAATGACTTCATGGCAGGCGAAGAATATACAAAATTTATTTACCCGAGAAGTGCACAGCAGGAAGTTGTGCATAATTAAAATAAATAACAGATAATACATAACTATTTCCTCAAACAGAAACTTTCATATAATAGATTTAGTGTAATAAATTTATTTACGTAGATTTTGAATAATATAATAATTTGATTAAAGAAAACTCAGCTCTATGAGAAATACTTAAGATTTTAATGGAATTAATAAGAAAAATGATTTGAATGATGAGAATAATGATTTAAAAAAAATAACATCAAATTCAAGAACTAAGAAGGTTATGCTACACTCAAAAAAAATATGCTTTAACGACATACTAGTTAAATGGACCTAATCATTTTGGTGAAAAAATGTTAACTCATGTGGTAAAGAAGATAGGAAAACCAACATGTGGTGTGGTTGAGCCAAAAATACAGTTGTCGACTTGTTAAAATTTGGATAAATTAACCAAATTAGTTATCTGAGTGTATATACACAGTAATGTAATGAGTGGTCAAGTCCATTTTGAAAACTATGTCAATACATACTTTAATACTTTTTATTTTGTGTTTAGTTTTAAAAATTAATATTTTTTTTATTAGATATAATAACATATCCACATTAAAATATATATATATTTGTTAACAAGCGCCGAAAATTTTGACAATTTTGATTGTGCAACACTGTTTTAACCCAAATTTATTACACTTGCCTTTCTTTCTCACTTTTTCTCTCTATTGTCACCCTGCTATTTTTCTCTCTTTTGACTTCCTTGTTATTCATATCTAGTCTCTCGTCTTTTCCATATCTTGATTCATTCGCTTCTCCCCACCAATTGATCTTTAATCACTTTTTTGCTTTTTTTATTTTTCTTTTTTACACTTTTATCGCTTTTTTGTTACCGATCTTGTTTCTTTCTTTGCCTGCATGCTGTCTACTTTTCTTCTCTTGTCTATTTCTTGTCGGTCTGTTGCTATGTCTGTTGCTATATTTTTATTTTATTTCTCTCTTTAAGCTTTCTTTTGTCCCTTTCTTGATTCTCTCTCTTATCACACTCTAGTCACTCTTTTGTCCTTTCCTTGTGTCTTTATTTTTCTCTCTTATCCTTCTCTCTTTTCTCACTCGTTTTTTAATGTTATCTGTCTGTTGCTGTAACAGTAATTTATTAATGATATTTCTTCTTAACGCTGTTATAGCAAAAATTTTTGCAACTCAATCAAACCACCCTTTAGAAAGGGAAAGGGAGTAGCAGAAATTTTGTTTTATTTAAATTTTTTTTTGAAGATTCACTAATAAAAAGGAATTCTCGATTCAGTTCAACAAAATAAAATACTAAACATAAGATATAATACTATAATAAATTCAAATTCGTAATTATGTTAGAAACTCAGAGTATCTGTGATAATAATATTACCTAGGTTTATTTCACTAATCTAATTGTGGCGACTCAATACTTTAGGGGCCCCATTCTATAAGGATCTTGATCAACTGCAAAAATTCACACTAAACAGCATTATAAGCTTTGCCAAAGGTTCCAGGTGGTGTTATACCCCGAGCTTTTCCATGATACGGTAGCACAATGAGCCAATGGGCGCCTGTAGCTCACTTAGGTTAGGTATAACTTAAGTGGGAAGCATAAAAAATATATATAATATATACAAATGTCGGTTCCATGCTTCAGTCAAAATTAAAATTCTTAAATTTTTATTTAGTTCATTAACAATTGAGCATTTAAATTTAGTTTGCGTAAATTCGTAATGTAAATAAAATTTAATTGTTTGTAATATCAAAAATAGAACGTAAGATTTTACGATGATTTATGAATACTTCTTTTACCAATAAAGTAAGATATTTTTATTAAATTAATATGTGATATAAAAGTTTATTATGAACACAATTAAATTTGTTGTTCAGTTATTTTTATAGTGCACTACTCAGCGTAAGTAAAATATATCGTGACGTTAATATATTATATTAATAAATATAAAATAAATTGCTGTTAAGTACAGCAATTTCATTTAAAAATGTTGGCAAATAAGAAACGCAAGGGCATAAATAATAAAGCAGTAAAATTAATAGCATGCTATAAAAAAATAAAACTCTCCTACCTCCAGCTGTAGCATGCAATTTAATATAAATTGCAGTTGAGCATATCACAAATTAAAATATAAATTAAGTCGGAATAATCGAATTGTTTTACTATGAACTGCTTTTTTTTAGTATAAATTTACACTTAACAATTAATACACAGCAAAAATATAAAACTTTATGATTCCATAAATTTTTTTCAAAATTGATTTACAGTACAAAATTTTATAAATGAATCAATATAACATTTCTTCTTATATTGAATTTATGTACACTCAAAGGAACCGAGTTTTATATAATATAAAACAGCAATTACAATATTAATAGCCCTTACTCGTTTATTAAAATATTACCAGGCATTATTCTTTTATAGCATAATAAACTTATTCCTTCTTTTAATACTCGCACTCAAAAGCAATAATATTAATTTTTAATAGATATTTTTAATTAATATGAAAAAGGCTGCCTATAATACTTTTCATACTTTTCAGTAATAAATAATATTATATTTTTAGTTTATTGTTCATATACTTATATACAAATAAAAAAGAATACAAGTATTATTGACAATAATGATATACTACATATATTAGCATTACTAGTCGAAGTACTCTGAACAAAATATTTCCGAAGCTTTTAAGTCTTTGTTGGAAAAGAGATTTCAGAGTCGAGATTTCAACGCAACCCACCACTCATTCATGAAGTACTTCTACTGAAGTTTTAAAGAAATTGGATACTTATTGACGTACAGTTCCACTATCTGAGATATTCATAAAATTAATCGTTTTGCTGTTTTCGAATTTAGATCATCTTATGTACAGTATTCTCTTGATTTGTATAACCCTTTCGGGATAGCTTGCATTGATACAAGCCGCAACTATATCTAATACTCAGAAAGTATTGTTTGAAGGACTTTAACATTGTTCTATAAAATTCAGTATTTTACTGTCTTTACTGAGATTTTACTGTCTTAAACTAATCCTAATGTAGTTTTAACAGTATCACCGATGTCTCAATTGTACCAAAAATAAGAGACAATTTATGAGTACAGAAACTTTGATTTTCTTGATTTGTTCTTTTAATTATTAATAGACGATTTTCAAGTACCTAAACTTTGATTTCCTTGATTAGTTCTTTTAATTGTCAATAGACGATTTTCAAGCATTAAATCTTTGATTACCTTAGCGTGTTGTTCATTAGATAATATTGAAAGTCATTTAGAATAATTGTTTTCGTCTATGCTTTCTTTGATTAATTTACATCAGTTTTAATAAATTTTTCGTGATATAGCCTGGTTTTTTATTAAATTTATTTCACCAGAAATTTCATTTTGCAAGCAAGACTTAATAACTTAAAGCGGTTACATTAATCAGATATTGTAAAAGTTCCTAAATTTATTCTTTATTATTCACAAAGCAAATACGCAATTATTGGACTAATCCAGATATTAACATGAAATTTGGCTCATACGTCAAAGACAACACTACTAACCTAAAACAAAAAGAGTTGCCATAATCAAAAACTCGCATATTTTCAATAAAAAGTTTCATCTTATTTTTTTATCCACATTCGCTTTCGGTGATGCTCACATACCAGGACATCCCGGATTTCATTATATATTTTCGACCTTATCGGTAAGTTTGTTCATATCAAAAGTTACACTAATGCCGTCTCTGTTTTTTTTGCGGTTCAATTACATCGGCTAAAACCTCTGTGTTGTTTCACCGGAAAAGAAACAAATAATATTAAAATAGAATAACTCAATTATGTTAAATAAACATCATCTTTTAATAACATTTTGTTTTGTGTAAATAAATTCTTTGAGGAATTTATTTAAATGCAAAGTCCAAGTAGTTTTTTGTTTATTTGCGTTATTCAAATTGTATTAAAAAAGACCTTGAATTTGTAAATAATTTTAATTGATTAATTAATTACTTTGTTCCGATAAATATTTTGTAACTTTTTATGACTTTGCATTAAAGTCTGATAATTTAATGCAAAATGGGACAAATCTTCCCAAGTAAAATGTAAAAGCTTTTGCTCAAGTAAATATTCATTAGGCCAGCGAAAAGTCAACTAATTAAACTGCAAACTCGTAAAATTTATAAACGCTGTGGCGCTTTTTGTTTAACTTTTAATAAATCTTTATAAATAAAGAAAAAAGTTTGCGTTTTTTTTTAGATTACAATCTAACTACGAAATGATTGCAGCTTTGAATATCCCAAAGCTAAGAGTGAAAAACTTTCATTTTCATTAAGTAGCAAAATTACGCACGAAAAATAAATTAGCTACTGCCAACAATTTTTGTATAAAATCTCTGTCATACCATCAAATAACTTTTCCTCCTTTAAATTTATTTTAATTTATGCTCATTTTTTGTATTCTTTGTTTTTCTCCACTGTTTTTATAGGTCTCACGTCGCATGGCGCAAAGGATAACAGAAATGACGAACTACACCGGATTATAAATCAAAATTTAATTATGTCATCGTCGTCGGTTATGCCCGGCTCCCCACTAACATCAACTGGACTGATATCATCATCATTGTCATCATCTGCGTCAGATATGCCCTATCCTCCGTCATCTATTTCAGCATCTTCATCACAGTATCAACACACAAGTGGCAGCAGCATAAAAGGTTTTGATTCATCCAATGTGATCGATGAACAACAACAGAAACAGGAACAACATTTCAGCAGTCGACAATTAGGCAGAGACACAATAGCGCAACGCCCAACACATAAAATGCTGGGAGTTGGCAACATTGGAGACGGTAATGCTGAGAACCAACTTGATGCGTCTGGTGAGAGTGCGGATGTGTTTAATAGTGCACCCATGTATTTTGGTACTGAAAATTCTACAGTGGTGTCGACTCAAATCGGTGCCACAGCACATATACCCTGCACAGTACATCATATCGGTGATGGTGTGGTAAGTGTCAATTATTGTTTTCTTAACAATTATTTGCTTTCAAATTGTATGGCGCGTGATTATTTCTGTTTAATGATAAAGAAAAATAAACAGGAAATAATTGAATGGCACTGAAACTCATTAAACTAAGCCTAAGTAATTATATATTATGATTATAAAATGAAATTTAATTTTAATTTGTAGTTAAAAATTTTTTACGAATATAAAACAAGTAATACGTCAGATGAATATATTATATATTAAAAAAAATTTTGTTACCTGAATTACTTCTTTAAAATACTTAATTAATGCATGTACGAGTACCACATCTTAACAGAAATCTGAGTGATTTTTGCTATATATCCATTGATAAAATTTCCTTTCATATATTTCAAATAATTATAAAAAATTTATCCATCATTTATAAAATTTAAAAATAAATAAATGCAAGAAATATTTCCAAGATGATGGGTATTTGGCAATACTCAAAACAGATGTATGGTCAGCTAAAAATTCAATTAATTAAAATAAAATAAAAAAGAATTTTTGTTGTTGTAGTTCACTGCTTTTTGAAACTTCTCTATAAAAATTTTGTGATGATTTTCATATAAAATCCATACAAAAAGGGTACCAATGAGGCTCAATAGTTTTAAATTCAAATATAATATGAGATAGAATGAAATGACATGAGATAATATAAGATGAAATGAGAAGAGATGAATAAAATGAGATGAAATGAGATAAGATGAGATGAGACGAGATGAGATGAGGTGAATGAGATGATATGATATGATATGAGATGGAATAAGATAAAATAAGATGAGATGGATTGGGATGAGATGAGATGAGATTAGATGTGATGAGATAAAATGAAATAAGATGAGAAGATATGAGATGAGATAAGATGAAATAATATGAAACAAAATAAAATGATATGAGATAACATGAAATATGATGAGTTGAAATGAAATGATGTGAGACTTGAGAGATGAGAGTAATATGTTTAGAAATTGTATCAAGACAAGAATAGTTAGGAAAATATACGATATGTCTTTAGAAGAATGTCGATTGATTGAAAGAGATTTAGTATAACCTCTAACACTTTTGTTAGAGATAGTGAGTAAATTTTTAGGTAAGGTTTGTGTTTTAAAAATCTGTGTGCACAATAAGTGTACCATTCGATAACAACAGCTCAGAAACCCATTCGTATGTGACTTTGTAAATTGACTCTAAATAAATAGAAGTCTATCTCGCAAAAGAGTCATATCGAATCAATCATGATATATCAATATCACTTGAAAATGATTGATTCGATGCCTATTCGTGATTAAGTGTGCCTTATTATGTAGTTGTTGATATAGGACGATACCCATGATCGGAATTATACTATATTATATGAAATTATACTATATAAGTTTTGGTAGCAAATTCACTATCGTTGACTCTGAACCATGTCTATTCAAGTTTTTTTTTTTTTTTTGAGAACTTGACTTATAACTTATAAACTCTTAAATTTGACGTAGAAATTTCAATGCAGTTCCACCATACACAACATAAGTTGAGATTTCATAGAAGTTAATAACTTAGTTTAATTTTAGATTGATTACTTTGTTTTAGTAGAAGCAAACCGTTCCTCATTTTCTTACCACACACCTTAAAATGAGATTCTAATTTCAAAAACCATTCTGCAATGTTGATAAGGGTTATTTTATTTGGGATATTTCGATCTTGCCAGACCTGACTATTTGTATAAATTGAATTCAGATATTATGACCAGTTTCAAATATTGTATAATACGAATCGTATAATACCAATTCTGCAGTACCATGATATATAAAGATGTGATCCTTTTTGCTTTTTTTTTTGTAAAATATAAAATTTTTCCGAAAACTTAAACAAGTACTTACTATTCATTAATTTTGTAACCCCGTTCTTGAAATAAAATATTAAATTCATCAAAAACAGTCAAAGATTTAAACCTAAAAATAACGTATCAGAAACCCAAGTGCATGCAATTAGTTTACATATATTGGAATAGGAAACCTCGATTACAATTTCCGAATTTAATTAATATGGCAAACTTACATATTATGCAAATTACACTGCCATGAGATTATATAAGCATATATATATACATATATACATATGTGTAGTATGTGTATGCAAATTTATGGTATGCAATTGAATTAGCATACCAAAGGACTGTAGTAGGAGCACTCAATAGAAGTGTGTGGATAGCACATCATAAAGCTTAATTTCGAAATTACTATTAATTGGCTAAAAAATTATCTTTTGTACTATTGAAAAATTTGAGGTTAATAGATATAAGATATTCGAATAATAGAATTTTTTTTGAAAATATTATATAAAGGAATATTAAATTTACTATTATATATGATACTTCAACTTGCCGTATTTTTTACTACTACTCATATTTGAAAGTATTTATAAGTCAGTCATGATTTATAATAACATTTATTATTTATTTATACAATAACAGTACAATATGTATGTATGTAGTTATAACATTGGAAAAAGTTTACTGTTTTTAGAATTGTTTGGGTATGAAAATTCTTCATATCCTCCATGTTTTAAAGAACATCAATTAAAATATATTATCAAATCAGAATAATAATTGATTAGACTGATTATTATTGATAAAAAGATTCCGGACCCAGCTTCTTCTATCCTGGCTAGTTTAGCAACGTATTCGTTTCCACATACGCCAGTGTGTCGCGGTATCCATACAATCGACACGTGATTTGCTTCGCGGAGTAGGTTCCGCATTCAGGTATTCTAGCATTAGTCTTGAAATCCCCTGGTACGAGTTTAGTGCCTTGATAGCCGCTTGTTTGTCTGTCAGTATTGCGATATTTTTTTCTCTCGTATTTCCATTCAATATTCAAAAGTATGCACCTAAATATTGCATAAATTTCCGCTTGGAAGATGTTAGTAATTTTTTGTAGCGCTACCCAATGTTTCAGGTCCGGTCCGACTATGACCGTTCCATCATCATCTTTCATAAGCGAGCCATGTGATTGTACTGTTCATTCACTGGTAGGTTTGTTTAATGTTCTCTCAGCTTCTTTTGTTGTTTAGTTCAGTTTTAAGGAATTTAGAAGCTAAACTTTAAATTCATCATATCCCATGGCATTGCGAACTCTATCTATTATTAAACAGACAAGATTTAACAAGTTAGATTTCATTTCTTCATTCTTAGGTATGCCGTTTCGTGGCCATTATCACTAGCTTTTATTTTGAAGTCTAAATTTTCTTTCATAACAAAAGCGTAAATATATTCACACTTTAAAAGATGAACAGACTTAATAATATGAAGTTACTCTTTATATTTATTATCTTTATCTTTATTATTTTTTTTTTTTCGTTATTAGAATTTATATAATTTATAATTATATAAATTTATAATTTATAATTTATATAATTATGTTATTACAATGTAGGGAGTAGTACCCATTAGAAATTTGTAGTCCATTGTGCTAACACCAATTCTATTAAACAATCTTTATGCCTGCAATTAACATGAAAGTCTACCTTTGATGATTTTGTTTTGCGTCATATATAGTGTGGCTCAATGACTTTATTCTCAAGATGGTCAAGTGTCCATCAAGTCATCTGATTTTTGAAACTTGAAATCTAAAGTTCAGTTTAAAGTACATTTACTAAGTCATTAAGCCCATACTTTAAAACCATACTAAACTATGCTCCACTCATAATGTGTTAAATTGCTAGGATTACAGCTGAGATTTTCCATCTCTGCTGTTGTAGTAAAAAGCAAAATATTTACCTTAAAGTGAATATTTGAATCTTATCCTATTTATTTTGGAACAAAGATAAAAAATTAAAATAATTTTAACGTTAAAAATGAATTCTCTCGGCAGCATTAAAGTGAAAGCGAAAAAATACATTTTCGAGCGAATAAAAGTGTACTCACATAATGGAACACCTTTAAATCTGAGCTTATGGGCTCAAGGACATCACTTCAAAAGTACGTGTAAACTACTATCCTTATGCACGCTTGTTTGCCTATATGTTTGTTTTTGTGTGCGTGTGTGTGTGGAGAGTGTGTGTGTGTGAGTGTGTGGTTGTGTACCTTGCGTAGAGGAGCTTAATTCTATATTTTTGTGTTAGCATTAAATAATCCATGCCACAAACAAGAAAATGTCAACTTTTTTGAATGTGCTAAAAAGCACCGAAAAATGTGGCAGCATTGAATGCTTTGCTAGGATTCTTCCTATGGCACAAAAACATATCTCAACGTAGCGTTAGTAAGGATGCTTGTAAAAGTAAAAGTAACATTTTTTGGCTACACTTTTGCGGTGGCACGTTGATTTCGTGACTTTGGTTTATTCGGTATCTTATAGTATTATAAACAATATACAGTGTTTATTTTGTAATTATGAAATTTTTTCCACATAATTTACCTTTCATTATGCTCCTATTAATGCAGAAGTTCTTCAAATGTTTTCTTAAAATTATTTCAATAAAATTTTACTCTTCCCAAAATAATGCAATGGCAAAGTAAACAGAATGCAGGGCACTTCTTATGTGTATCCTGACTCGTTCCATGTTGAAAGTTTTTTGTGATCTGAAAATTTTAATACAAATTTTACATTTCACATTTTCGGTTTTGTTTTTGTACAGCACACGCCCGTTATTTGATACTTTTTTGTAGATACTTCGGAATACAAATGCGTTACTTCGATATTCTTGTGCACGATAACAGGACACAAGGACATATTTTGTCGCAGTATTAACTATAGTATCGAAATATGTAAACTATCACTGGTATGTACGATGAACGTATACTACATACAATATTCTTACTTATTTTCACAGGAATATTATTTGTGTATATTAGCATTTACCTGATTTTTCGACGAACTTTAAAATATTTCTTTGAACGAAACGACTTTGTGACATTAAAAGTAAACTCTCTTCTTACAAAGTATATAAATAAAGGAAGATTTACTACTTGAGGAACGAAAATGAATAATCACTTT